TATTGTTATCACATAACAGTAACTCATTATGTAATTACATAGTACCTGGAGGACCGAGCTTAGCTCGGTTTGCTTTTTTTTGGTAAATCATGTATTTTGGAAATTACATTTAGATACAAATTACTGAGTACTGAAATATGCATAATATTTTTTGATCTTACCGACGTAATAATAAAAAAATATGAACTGGTGTTTTTCACAAAAGAAAGAACTTTAAAAAAAGGGAAAAGAATAACAAAATAACAAATCGACAAAAAATAAAAAATAAAGAAAGCAATGATCTGGAATCGAAAAAAAAGTGTGTAAATGATCGTGATACGAACCACGGCCGTCTGTTTTGGGGCCGCCCGATTACCGTCCGAGCTATTAAAAATTTTTTTTGCGGCGAAATTTACCATCATATTCGAATTATATTTTTCATTCCCTGAAAACAGGGATAAAGGGCATTTTCTAAAAATTAAACCTAGCTAGATCGATTTTTCGCCCCGAATCTACGCACATACTAAATTTCATGAAAATCGCTGGAGCCGTTTCCGAGATTCCGATTATATATATACAAGAATTGCTCGTTTAAAGGATAAGAGAGAGATACGTTATAGCGTCAAGTGACACATAGTGGACGCTTTAAGGACTTTTTCACTTTATTCTCACTCAGAATACGATCATAAACAGATATTCACCGAATAAAATGTCAATTCCAGATAAAGCATGTATTAAGCGGTGCTAAACAGAAAAATAACAACTTTGTTTTGATCTTCCTAATTTATAGATACATACAATTTATTTCACATGTAATGTTATGCCAACAGTCCCTTTTTAAAATTTCAACTTAACTAAATCGTAAATTATTCACAGACGACCCTGTAAGTCATAGCATTCAACAGAATAGATTACAGTCAGAAAGGTACTTTAACACTAACTTCACTAACACTGGGTTCAAACCTTTTACGCATCTTGATATGTTTTATAATATTGTGTTGTGATGTTACTTTTAAAAACAGAAGAGTAGTGCCACAAAAGTACCTGGATTTAAAAGATTCCTGTTAATAAACCTAATTTTTTAAAGATATTTTAAGCAAAATAAAAGTTAGGTTAACAGTGGCCTTTTTCATATTTTTTGTCATCATCCCGATCTAACTAGCTGGACAGTTTAGACTCCTCACTATTTCCATCATCCTCCACTAATTCCAGCATCATCTGTAGTAAAAATACCTGTGTAATGTCTTGTGTGAATAATCGAGAAATTGTAACATCTTCACGACAGACGATATACAGATGAAATTTCAATATACAATATATAAAGCGTAGTGCATTCAAATCCGCGTGAACATGCCGGGTTCCGACGGTATTAACTCTTAACGCAACGTTACTCGGAAACGTCTTTGAGTGGTGTCGGAAGCGAATCCCGGGCGCGGGATTAGTCGGGATTGCCCGGGATTACAGGTCTTTGAGACTTGGCTTTGAGGAGGCCCGGTCGCGGCGGCGTACGTCCGCCTGGCTCTTTGTCCGCCAATATTTGTGGGCGTCGGCATAAATCAAATCGTTAGCCTGGAGAGGTGTTAATGCGGATTTGGCGGGTTTTTTCATGCGGCGCAGTTAAGGCATAGTCCTCATCTGTTGATACTTGTCACACGATATGATTATAGATAAGGCAAAGAGACTTAAAAGAAATTAAACGGTATGCTAAATATTTTTGACACGTAACGCTATTTGAAAAGCCATTTGACAGCTGATTAGTTAACATCTACGATTATCAGTGTTTCAGAGTCCGGGCGTTAGTGTAATTTTAAGACTTTGATATTCAGGCAAATCAGAGAATTTCCACGGCCACGTAACCGCTTCGCCATGTAAGCGCGTCCGAGTAAGTACCATGACCTCACAGAAGACGGGCGTCAAGTGGAAGTATTAAACTTTTGCGTTTCTTCTGGTGAAGTAATATGACCCCCTTTTTTTTGATGTAACGTGTTTTTAAACGTATCTCCAAGCTATCTATCGCTTGACTTCTTTTCATATTAAAAAAAATTATACAAGATTAACGTACGTATTTAGACTTGTGTCAGTACTTTGAAACATGTATCCTAAATTCTTTATTAAAATATATCTTTAATAAAATATGAATTCTGAATGCCAGTTGATGTTAATTTAAGTGTTTTATCGTTTATTTATTTTATATATAACCTTCAATATAATTAAAGAAGATTATCCACTACATCAAAATAAATATGTGCTCAGCTGCGCCTTAAAGGTGATGCATTTCAGATGATGTCACAATAACCAGTTGTCCGTCGTAGGCAGCAGGAAACGGAACTCAGTATTGTGCAAACCCCAAACCCCAGCCAGAACCGCACAGAACCATTGTGTCCCCGAATCACGCTCAAATGGGCATTAAGTTGTTAATGATGCGTTTTTACGATAGCCAAGAAAATAAGGTTGCGTCTTAAAGCATTGCTGGTGGGTGGACTTTGTTATAATTTTCGAGATACGGTGCTCAGTGAAGCGCATTTTATTAGTATCATCGTCGTATTTTTTCAAAAAGATTTCTATGAAATGTAAAATAAGATTTCGAATCGAAAATCTAACGCTTTTATGCACTGTTTCTGACTTCGAATTGATTCTAGGTTTGTAGGAATTTTAGATTTTTCTGTTGAGAATGTTGAAATGAAAATAGCTTAAAACGCAAAAGTACGATCTGCGATTTCTGTAGTTCGTATATCCGTCAAATAGTTACGTTATGATATCGTGCCGTGAGTCTAAAACTAAAAGATATTTTTTTTTGCAACTATCTATTAAACTCAACATTTAAATTTCTTCAGTGCGGAGCCAATCCTTCCTCATTACAAAAAGAACAGATACGGGTAGATACGTGCAAAAGCAATTAGTGTATTATATTTTTAACTGTGGTAGGTCTTCTCTGTTGGCAGATCCCTTCGGGTCAATACCCCGACCTCACAGAAGACCGGCGTTAAGTGGAAGTGTTCTACTTCTGCATTTCGTCTGGTGAGTGAGGTAGCCGGGGTCCAATCTATTGAGAGGCGGCAACGCATCTGCAACCCTTCGGTTGTTACAAAATGATGTCAATGGGCGGCGGTTATCACATTAGGTGAACCGGCAGCTCGTTTGCCACTTTCTCACAATGAATAAAAATAAATTCATAACCCCCTGTCTACAAACCTGAATTAATATCAACACGTATGTTTAAAATATGGAGAATCGAAATAATGTTGCTTTAATCATAACCGGAGAAAGGGAGCTGGACCTCGGCGGTGCCATATGCGCTGCCCCGCGGGACCGCTCCTGTTTGCCAACTTAATTTCGACAAACACCGCCCAATCATTGCAAATATTTGCGAGCCGCTATCACTTTCTTATGCGTGTAAGTTGTGCCGATCCATGATTGTTTGTTTGCTTAAACTATGATCATGATATATTTTATACTTTTCTTTATCCATAGGAGATAGTTCTCGCACCCGACAAATATTCCGACGAATGACAGATATATCAAATACGTGTGATTTACATCTGTTAATGGAGTGGTCTGAATTTATTAATTCCTAACTAACACACGAATGTTAAGAATTGTAGAAAAAAATATTTTACTTTTTACTATATACTTTTTTTATACTGTAAATTTTTTCTGTTCTATTATATAATAATGATATAAATGATGCGTCTGTCTGAATTTCATGCGGAATAACGATTTGTTACATTCAATTAAGACTTTGAATGCTTCAAGACAATACTTACTAGCTGAAATGATGACTCCGTGACGCCGTTGCTAAGGCATTGGCTTCTGCGTCGGGGATCGTGGGTTAGATCCCCACACGGGACAACTATTTGTGTGACCCACAGATAGTTGTTCCGCATCTGGGTGTTTGTCCACGTGTAAGGACAGTGTTTTAAAAAAAAAATACCTCAAAGGCTATATCATTGTGCACCGAGGCTTTGACCACACACACGAGTCAAAAAAATGGTCGTTCACAACAATAACTTCTAAATCCAATCAAAATACGAATGAGCAGGCTCAGACCGGGGATGTACTGCGGTCTCCTTTTTGTTATGTTACAAAGTGGCAAAAGAGCTGGCGTTTCACCTGATATGGTGATAATATATGGTGATAACTCTCACCAGACGAGACGCAGAAGTGTAACATGTCTTCTTCACGCCGATCTTCTGTGAGGTCGTGGTACTAAACCGGACGGACCTGCCCATTAGTGCAACAGCGAACACCGTGGCGCGGTTTTGTCACAGTTAAAAGCACAGACTCACCGAAGACCAACGGGAAGTGGAAGTATTAAACTTTCGCTCTTCGCCTGGTGAGTGAAGTAACTGGGGTCCACATTTTTAAAGGTTATCAACGTATCAGCAAGCTACCGGGTGTTATAGTTTTCCATGGTTGGTATTAATTTAACATCAGATGAACGGCCTCTTCGCTTGAAAACTTTTCACATAAAAAATATTATGTATTGTGTGGTATTTATAAATTACCCGGCAAGGACGATAAAATAAAAAAAAATATAGGCAGTCTCATCAGAGGCAGAAGTGAAATCATAAAACAATATCAAAATTAAAATTGTATAATATTTAATTCTACATATTTTGTAGGCTACTCCGATCGATAATAACATTATTTATATCATATCCATAACTACAAAGATATTTTTGCGTATTCCTTTTTTACAAATAGCTCATGGAAAACTTTCGGTGACGATGACGCGAGTTCCATGTTTTTGTTCACCCAAAAAGTGCTCGACGCGCCAAAATAAGTTTACAGACGAAAAGCAGTTTATCATAAAAGTGGCCTGACCACTAGGTAGGTAATCACTGCCTTTTATCCCCTTACGCTTGAGTGAAATAACATAAGTGACTTAATTTAGGCGCAACCTCGAAAATCTTACTCTTTACCGCGGGAGTCGGTACTAAAAAGGGAAACAAATAATATAAAAATGTAAACAAACAGCAGGCACGTGTACGACAAGTGCGTTACTGTTGCCGATACCAATTATGGGATTCCCACCATTAAAACAAAGCCAATTTCCGACACGCGCCACTCCCGACCCGGCCGCCCGCCACAGGCTGTCACGCGTTGACACGACAGGCCTGTCATCGTTTAACGCCCATCTCTATAGATCGGCGGTTGAGTTGGAACGTTGCGAAGCGATAGTCTCAGGTGCGTAGATTCGATCTCACACGGGACAGATTTGTTTCAACCTTAATTAATTGCATTACCAGCTATATGTCCAAGCATAATTTCATATTTGGCGTATTTATAATGAAATATTGACTAAAATAATCAAGCTCGAAGAAAAAAAATAATTGTAAACCATAGTTAAGATGAGTAGCTAGAAGAAGAAAGCTCAATACATAAGTCCTTTTTTTCGGAAATATGAAAATTTGTAGTGATTTCACTTTATTTCAATCTTATTAATTGACGTACCTATCAGTTATAATTTCTATTAAAGCACCTATAAACTATGTGTAAAATTTTTATTGCACTCAACTTTCTTCTTCAAAAACATGTTCTTGTATCTCTCCTCATCTCCTCATCTCATGGTTCACTTCGAGCGCCGTATGCCAATAATCTATGCATTCCAGCGCACTTCCTCGGGTTGTCTATTAACTCTCTGGGCTTTATAACCGAGCTACACATCTCTTGAACCCCTTCCCCGATGACGTAAGAAACACAAGATGTAACACATCTTTCAAAAGACTGGTTCCTGAATAGTTGATAAAGAAGAAAAACTTGACTTAACATGAAGGCTATTATTATAGGCAAATAGTTATTTATTTAGATAAGTATAAATCTTTTTAACAATTAATATAAGTATAAATTATTTTTAACGCTATTTACTATATATTCCTTATTTTTTATTTATATATTTATTCTCTTGATTAAAAATTTTATTACTCTTGCATCTTTTGCTGCACTGCACCTACCATAAACTCTCACCACATTCTGAACTGACTGAGCATAAAATCCGCATTTGTTACCTGTTTTAATTAAGGTTGGAAATAAAAATTAAATAAATAGATAAACTTTATTCTTTTTTTTTTGAGACTTATTGCACACATTTTAATTCATATAATTATCGACTCATTGCATGAAGTATGCCTGTAGTTTTCGGAATTTGTTGTATTAACAGCGTATTCCGCAAATTGAGTTTTTGCATTGAAACGAAATAAGAAAAGCACCTTCAGATCCATCACCCAGCCGAATGTTGCCTAGTGTCATAAATTACTCGACGCTTTAGGATAAATGTCCAAAAGTAATCCTAGAAGCAATGTTAAAAGCCACAACGAACCGCCAAGCGGTCGCTCGGTGGTCAGCAATTTGTGGAAGTAATTGAAGGGTGCTTCAGCGTTCGGGACACTTCCGCCAGTGACCAGGGGATGCGGGCTGTCGGCCGAATGGAGGTGGACCCCTGTACCTCATCTCGGCTCGTTACGTGTGCAAGTGATATGTGAAGTAAATGATATGTGAATAGCTCATTTGTAAAAACTGTAAATTTACATTGTGATAGTAAAAGATGCGGCAGAGGCTTTCTTGTCTGAATATGTCTGCCATATGGCTCTCAACGTTTAATTTCTTAGATCAACTACTTACTCCTAAAATGAAATTAACTAATTCTAAAGCCAAAGTCACCCAAGGACATTTAATCCCGGTAGCAAGAAGGCAGGAAAGCATTCGATTCGGGAGACATGTACCATGTACCTTTAGCTAACCTCTTATTAGGTACCTACATGTCAGGAGTCTTTGGAGATCACGTACCGTGTCCAAATATCAACCGAGGGATTATCGGATGGGATGCATCCTCCTCGGCAAACACCGGTGCGTGGGGCGAAATCGATTACGCGGAGTGCCCCCTGCCCCTCCCCTTCCCCTTCCCTCCCCCCCTCCCCCAATCCCGCCGTCATTACGATTACGCACCGTAAATATTTGCCAACCGCCCCCCCAAACTGCGACCTGGGACACTTAAGCGTGGCTCCTCGCTATTTGTCAACATTAATTTATTATCGCCGTTGACTCCGAAAAGTTGTGCATGGCGTGCAAATATTTTCAAGATATCGCGTCTCGTATTGCCATCTTTGTGTGTTTACTCAATATAGGATTGGAATTAAATGGGTCTTCTGTTGATGCTGGAATTATTCCTTTTTAACGTTAATAGATTTAAGTTCAAATTCACATTATCGGATGTGTACCTACCTTAAAGGGAATGCTCCATATGGTTGATATAGAAAAGACGTGCCTAAATAAATCGACATAATCCGTTTTCTATTATTTTTAGATATTAGACATAACTATCAACACAGTTGAACTTTTAGCTGTCAATATATAACTTACATTAAAATTCAGCGTATTTGTAGCTCAGCTCATGAAATAGAATTTTATAGTTTTAAAAGACGTTGATGTGAGTAAAGGTGTTTTTATTGGAAAATTAAAATGTCTGTTTCCTGAATCGTCTGAAAATTATTTCTCGTAGATTTTTGCTGATTCCAAGAGATGCTGCCAAATGATTAGACTAACGTAATTATGATTTGTTACATTCAACATCTCACTGTGATGTAATCTTAATGCGTATTTTATTGCAGGCTCCGACAGCTTTATCAATTGTTGTGCTTTTCTACTGGGGGTGAAGAAATGAGAGGAAATGATGATGATGAATGATCAAAACATGCTGGGGCCTAATGAAGGACTTTGCGATTATGGCCATTGCAAAAAATTGTTCGCATTCTCAAAATCATCACTTGAATATTATTCTTCACATTTTATTCGCGGTCTTCTGTGAGGCTGTGGTACTGTACTTCTCAGATCGAGCCTGCCCATTTGTGCAACAGCGGAGACTGCTGCGTGGAACTACCACAGTACCTAAAGCATGCAAACGAGACACAACTGTCTTTTTAACCATCGAAGGTCCACCCGCTAGATAGAGCATGGAGATAGAGCCGTTCCGGCATACAGCTTCGGCTAGTTTTTTCTCAGAAATTGTGAATCTTAGATAAAAAAAGGACTGAGCAATTTAAATCGTAAAACTAAGCGTTAGGTCTTACGCGAACTTTGACCTTTAATACAAATTTTGCACACGCGGGAGCAATGGGGACTTTTCATTTCATTAGAATGGTATCCCTTACGTGCCTGTAAATTTTCATCTTATTGTGAATTAATGCAAGGGTCATTGTCTACTTTGACCGGGTTAAAAAGAACAAAAACTTCTCCCTTTAAAGAGCATAATATTTCAACAGTAGACCGGGTCTACTAACTTATCAAACCATGAAATTGGTTTTTAAATCCTTTGAATTTGTTAAGCCCAATAGGGTAAAGTTTAAATCTTATACTTAATATTTAGGTTCACTATATATTATTATTATTATGCAATCATATTTAATATTGCAATATGATACTACAAATGAATCATACTATACCTACTAAATCTTTACAAGCACACGTCTCCTGTGGCTCTAGTTAATACTCCTCTTACGTCATAAACAGTTAATTACGAAACTTTCTGATCGCACTGGCGATCTCTAAAGCGCAGCCAAGAGCTGTATTGGCGCACTGCAAATATGTACACAGCGCTATAAGCAAGTTTAACTCGACTCCAAGACTCCAATATTAACCACAGCGTATGTATTTATGCCGCTGTATGGAGTACATAGAGGCGGTAGTGTGGATTAAGTGTTAGCAGTGTGCGAAGTGACTCTCTGTTTATCTATCATTTCCCAGTAACCTTTGTGGATTTAGTTTTTGATCGATTATTGTTTTGTTATATTAATGTCATATCTATATTATAAAGAGGAAAGATTTGATTGTTTGTATGTATTGAATAGGCTCCGAAACTACTGAACCGATTTGAAAAATTCTTTCATTGTTGGGAAGCTACATTATCCCTGCTTGATATAGGCTATATTATATTTTCAAAAAAATAGGGATCCTTACTAAAACTTCAATAATGTAACCCAAAGTGTACAAAAATTACCTAAAATATTCTTTACATCACGTGCGCTGCGAAAACTATTGATGATAGAATAAAATAATGTACTACGACTTTGCAGAACACATCATTATTTACAAAAAGTGTCGCGACAGCATATGTCTAACTATTATGGTTATGCCACAATAAGTGTTCTTTTATTTTAAAATTTTGATTGAAATGCCGCCGCTAGAAAAGTCTCTTTATTTGTATCTTGGTATTAATCCTTATAAAAATAAATTACTTCATATTTAAGACTGTTTAAATATCTTTATATAACTTTTTGAATTATTAAATTCGGACATTCCATTCGAGAGATATCACAAGTTTAAAAATGTTAGTATATTGGAATTTAACTATCCAAACAGCTTAGTGACTGACTTAGTAGGTCTTATAATTTTTCAATCACATTTATACTGGTAATTCCTGTTCGATAGTTAGCATATTATTAAATACAAAGGAAGTTTAATTTTTTTTATAATTTTAAAGATCTAATCTTACTAGAAATAGTTTCCAGGCGAGGGCATCAAAAATACGTCGTAATGAGGAATCTTTACCGGAAACTGAAAATAGTCTTAAAGGTCGGAGAGAGTCAAGTAGTGTTTGCAGCGGCTTGAAGAGCATATTAATATAAATATACAAATTCTCACTAGGGAGTCGAGTTCTGAGCGTTCCCAACGCCTACGAGATTAGAGGGAAAGACAACAAACGTCAACGATTAGAGTTCGTAATCGACTTTTAGCTCACAGTAATAGATCAGCTTTAATGCATTAAGCTCAACAGTCTTTTGTCCAAATCGGAGCCATGAATAAAATCTGCTGTAAGTGTTCTGCCAAAAAATGGTTCGATGAACCAAATGGTATGTGCTGTGCTTCTGGAAAAGTTAGTCTCCCCAATATTGAGGAGCCGCCACAGCCAATAAAAAATCTTTTGACAAATATCATTCACCATCTGGACATTTTTAACCAATATTCGAAAGTGCAATTGCTTCTTTCAAATGATTTCGTTTAGCGTGAGCTTTTAAAATAGAGGGACAAGTATACAAGTTATCATTATCCTCCTGCCCCTATCCTACCTAGGTGGGTCCGGCACAACTATATTTTTACAACCAGCCGCCTGCCTGACGTCAAGCGTCCTTGGGAAACAAATACCCAGATCAAATTTCAACTCTATAACTATCACGGTTCATGAGATACAGCCTGTTGACAGAGGGACAAACAGACAGCGGAGTCTTAGTAATAGGGTCCCGTTTTACCCTTTGGGTACGGAACCCCAAAAAGGCCCTAGAGATATACTGTTGCACGGTAGACACGGCCAACTTAAAAGGGTCTCTGAGTTACACCGATTGTATGATCCACTAAAATATCTCTTAATAGTCGTAATAGGAGAAGACGGTTAATATTTGACTATTCCTCAGCAAGGTACTGTGTGTAACAAAACTGTGACATGCATGCAATTTTATGCATTTAGGTTGATGGTTAGAGCTACCTGTTTTAATCCATTACATTATTACTGGGAATTATTAGGGTTCCGTACCCAAAGGGTAAAACAGCACCCTATTACTACGAGTCCGCTGTCCGTTTGTATGTCCGTATGTCTGTCCATATGTTAGAGATATGTTAGAGAGTTGAAATTTTCACAAACGATGTATTTCCTTGTCATTTTTTGCCGCTATAACAATAAATACTAAAAAACAAAAAAATTATAAATAAGAGGGGCTCTCATAAAACAGACACGATTTTTTTGCCGGTTTTATAGATAATGTTGACAGCAGTAGTGTTTTTGACAATATGTAAGAGTAATACTTTTATATTGAATATTAAAACATGATTTTTTTAATGTGATAGAGTGGCAAACGATCTGGCGGTTCACCTGATGTTAAGTAAGAACCGCCACCCATGGACATTTGCAACACCTGTAGGGTTGCAAATGAGTTGCCATCTTTAAATAAAGTGGGCCCCGGCAACCTCTCACACCAGACGAAAAGTAGAAGTATAACACTTCTATTTTACCCCGGTCTTCTGTGAGGTCGGTACGGAACCCTTCGTGTGCGAGTCCGACTCGCACTTGGCCGGTTTTAATTCAATACATTGTCGATATGATGGCAAAAAGATATGAGAAAGATTGAATTACATATTATGTCGTAATAACCAGTGACTGAGGGCTGGTGAAACATTCATCTTAGAGATGCTTTAAATCAAGACATTGGCCCATCAAATATCGGTCAACGCGTAATCTGCAACGTCATATTCATTTACAGGTTCTCCGAATTATCTGCATTAAAAAACCAAAGATGCGATGATTTATGTCTGAAGCTATGGGAGACCAGACTTATTTGCCACTTTTACGTGTAACCCCGGATGTCCCGTAATTAAAGCGGAACCATTATCTGGTCAGCGATCTTTCGATCTTCATAACGTAATTTCAAGGATATTTCATTAAAAGATTAAGAAATTCATAAAATTATTCACCACCGACGAAACATTCGGAAGGTTTTATGTGTGTGTATGATAATTTTTAATTTTTTAATTTTTTGTTAACCTTATTGTTACCCGTGCGAAGCCGGGGCGGGCCGCTAGTTTATAATATGTTGTAACCAGTAATCGCCTAGGGCTGCATTTAATCTTAGTTTATATTACTATCTACCTTACATTGAATTTATACTACTAGCACTTACATTTTATATAGTCCTTTGTCCATACCAATATAACTTAAAGTACTCTGATATCATACATGAATATTTATATTATGTACATGTGTTAAATTTAAAAGGAATGTCTTAGAACCTAATTTAAAGTATCCATATATTAACCATGCAATATGATATTTTATCGTTTGAGTCATATAAACAAACGGGTTCAACACTGCTTTAACAATCAATCTCTAAGTCTTTGTAATGGTTTTGTGATTGACAATAAAAAAATTCTGTTTCACCAAATGAAACTTGGCGATTTCCTTGCT